CTGTCATGTAACAGTTAACTTTCAGGACAACACACTTCAGAATTCACTAAAAAACATTTATTGCTCTTAGCGGGCTTAATTAACACTAACTGCTGATGTTACTGCACCTGTGAGGACACTGATACCTACACTGACAGAATTACAATGAAACAAGCTTAATTCAAGCTGAGCAGGAGCTTGCTTTATTAAAGGGACAGCTCACCCCAAAATCAAACATACATGTTTTTTGCCTCTTACCTGTAGTGCTGTTTATCATGCTACATCGTTTTGGTGTGAGCTGTCGAGTGTTGGAGATCTCAGCTGTAGAGATGTCTGCCTTGTGGTGGTAAAAGCCAGAAATCATGTCCTGGTTACTCAAGATAATCCACAGACCTTGTTGAGAGCAGTTTCATGTAGGTGCTGTTTTTATTCTATCAAACTACACCCACCAACCACTTTACCGTGCAGGAGGAAGGGTGCATCTACTCATGGACAAGAGGCTCGTGCTTGTGACAGCGCTAAATGTAAACATAAATGGCGTCCTCCTCGGCTGAGCTGTAATGTTAGCTTGCTAAGTGGTGCTAGGTGAGCTAGCAGTAGATGCACGCTTCGTTCTGCACAATGATTTGGTTGGCAGGTGTAGGTGGCTTGCCTTTATTAGATAGGACAGTGTAATCCATATGAAATATAGGGCTACTAAACCCATTATGTTGTTTAGAGATGTAGTTGCATGTCGCCTCCAGTAGGGAGCGCAAGCCACTGGGTAACTGAAGTGATAGAGTGTTACGTATGACTCCTACCTGCACATGAGATCACTTCCTGAATAACATCCTGAAAACGTCTTGTATACATGCTACAGGCAGACAGAGCAAGTTCTCATATAAATGCCACAAAATAATTTAAAACTTTGATTATTCAGTCATACTAGTGCTGACAAGTTGCTCTTCTATCAGATTGTGAGCTGTGACCATGAAGGCGTTAACTTCTGTCGAGTTATTAATATCTTGAAAACTCCAGTTGGTTTTTTGTGAACTACCAGATTTACAGACAAACCTAGTGATGGCGAGCCCAGCCCAGGACAGTGTGGCCTACCATAGGACCTGCTCACAGAGGACATTGGATTCGCTTGACTCATTCACTCTGAATCCGGATAAGAACACAGACACTATTAACTCTACACGGGTAACACACTTCAGGACAGCAAGAACTAAACATTTGAAACTCTTAATATCTTCTTACATTGAAGGACCATCACCGCGATGGGACTTATCCTTTCATTTTTGTTCATTGTTTTGAAAGAACTCTATTTTGTTATGTTTTATACAGACCACATTGCTGTGAATGTTTCTGTTACTGAGAAGCATTAAAAGTTGTCAACTGTTGAATGCAATACCAACTGCAATTTCGAGAGTCATTTAAGATATATAGCTCCTATCGGACATAGGTAGATGTTAGCATCTCCACTACTCCACCTAGTTAGGACTAGAGGCACTACAACAGGATGAGCGTGAAGGGGGAAGAGGGGACGACATGCAGCAAAACCAACGGCTGCTGTGGCAAGAACACAGCCTTTGTACATGGGGCGCCCTCTCTACCAGGTGCGCTACTGTGCGTCCCTGGCAGGTGTAGTTTGGTAGACAAAAAATACTTCCTATGTGAAACTGCTCCCAACAAGGTCCGTGGATTATCTTAAGTAACTGGATCATGATTTCTAGAAAGAGACATGGCTGTTGAGCTCTTTGAATGTATTTTTTGGTGCTTTTGACACCACAAGCTGAGTGCCATCTAGTTCCATTATATTCAAGAGAAGGCAGACATCTCTATGGCCGATACCTCCAACATTCGGCAACTCACACCAAAACAGTCTAGAGTGATAATTGGCACTACAGGTAAGAGGAACAATATGTTTTGTTGATTTTGGCATGAACTGTCCCCTTTGAGCTACCATGTAAGATCCCTTGTCTTCGTTCCCTTATCTTTAACCATACAGCAGATTCAGATTTTTGTAACGCACAAGTGAGAAGAAATCTCACTGCACAAACAACCACTGAAACCACAGAACTGTGAGAAAGTGTGCTGCTTCATGGAGCCAGCAGAGGAGATGTGATCAGAGAGCATGCCTGTGGACAGAGGGCAGAGGTCAGAGCTCTGAGAACAGCCAGAGGACACGTGGAGAAGCAGGAACCGGCTTTAAATATACAGTACTGTGTGAACGTGTGGGTGTGCATGTGAGCAGCGCTCCCGTGATCACACACATGGAAAAATGCAATCAGACAGAGCGCATTTAGTTTGTGCACGGGTCTTGTTTCTATTACAGCATTCTTGTGGCTGAGAATGAAAAACACTGCGGTCAGAGAAATAATTAGCTTTCACTGGCTTTAATCTATAACAAGGACAGATTTTAATCCCTTCACACTAGGGGGTATTTATCCAGAGAAACTTTCAGTGTCTCATTCAATGAGCTTCTCAAATCGCCAGTCTAACCACAAAGCTTTATTAGTCACCAACCAATCAGACTGCTAGCTAGAAACAACCGTTTCACGATTTGTAGGCAAGTTCAGAGTCACAAGCGACAAGCTAAACCGCAACAGTTTGGCAGTGAATGTCAGTGTTTGTGAACAAGGCAGCAGCCAGTACATCTGCAGCCAATTCGACTTCTTTATCATTACAGCAATATCACCACAAAAATACTCGACCCAAACAATAACCTCTGTGTCCGCTCCGACAACAGGATGCATTGTAACATCAGCCGTATTACAGCTCCTGCTCTGTGATTACTCGCACTTGATTTCACACTGCGCTGCACGGTGAGGCCGTTTCCGGGACAAATGCCACTTTCAACACCAATAAAGAAGTTATTTTGCAAAAGCTATGTGGAGTCGAGGCCAAAACACAGATTAGCTGATTATTGCCCAAGAAGGCTGGAATGAGGGCTGGTGGGCTGACACTGGATGGCATGCACTCTGTTAGCTGATGTAATGGACCAATCAGAGTGCAGAAGCATGGAGAGTAAGAAGCAGGGGACTGCTGGGAGTTTGCAGATATATAGTGTGTATAATCGTTCTTATAGCAGTGACCTCTGATGCCATGCTGGGTGAGGAAGACAAAGGCATAACATAACAACAAGACTATTATTCTCCAAGCTAATTGACTAGACACTAATGACTTCCATAAAATGATGCAGATAATTAACCCTTTAATGCACTAGTACAGCTGGGCAGGTAGCGTACAGACAGGTTTTAGAGCATTTTTGCTGAAAACAGCTGATGAGTGCTTTTAGAGAGAACCAAAAAAGTAAATTTGCAGGCTGGAAGACCAGAAAAAGGAGATAAAAGACCCTAAAACAGAGCTAAGAGAGAACTGTAGCCAGTTAATTACTCCGACTTTTTCACTATGAGCAGCCCTTTTAATATTACATGCAGTCATGAGACCCATTGTTAAAACAAAAACATTGGTCATAGCCTTTTTAAAGCCGCGTTGTACGTTTGTTTTGTTAACAGAAATCATTTTCACCTAACCTACACTCATAATGTAGGTTAAGCATGAAGTCATCTTTTCCATCCGGATCAGCTGATCATCAGTGATCTCCTTGAGTGCCAACTTTACAAAACAGAGCAGTCTATTCAAATACTCAGCTTCACGTGTCTCACTGCTGCTGCTACAGGAGCTGCTTACAAGATGAAGTTCTATTTTCCTATTTTTTTTTTTTTTTTATATCAGATGCATCCAAACAACCCAAATGCCTAAAAATAAAAAAAATGACTTGTGTTTTCCATTTGAGTGAGACAACTTATTCTTTGTTGTGGTTATTGGCATCAAGTCAGCCCAGAATAAATTACTGGCACAGTACGTGTCTGCAAACCATGAATGCATTACATCGGTACATTTCATACATGTCATATCAATGTTTCTAAAGTGATGTAGTATATAAGTTGACTTTATCATCGGACGGTTAAGAGGCGAGACGCCTGCCAAGCTGCAGAATACTGTCCAAGACCCATACACTGCAAAACCAGTTGTTTGTTAGTAAGTCATTGCTGTGTTTCCAGCAGCTTTTTAGGCAACAAACATAGGTGTTTTTTAGCTACCCTTTGCTGTGTTTCCTACGGGGATAGTGCCCCAAAAAGCATTTGTTTTTACCAGGACATTGCTGCATTTACAGCCATAATTGTGCAGCTACAAGCTGGAATTTTAAGCCAAAGCATGACCTTTGCCTTAACCATAACCAAGTAATTTTTATGCCTCAACCTGACCACATGTTAATCAATCAATCACTCAATTTTATTTATAAAGCCCAATATCACAAATCACAGTTTGCAGTTTTAACCACAGTGTTGCTGAAATGTAAAGAACTATTTCACCGTATCCGTTACATAATTATGTATAAATGTTACAAATCTGAGGTTTGCAGAAACCTACTATGTCAACATTTTTCCGGACAATTGGGTTGGTAAAGTACAAGCCATTGGCACCATTGTCAGCCGCACAACAGCAGTAATGAAGGGTTTTTGATTCAAAAACAATCTGATTTCTACACGGTGATGAGATGTATATGTGCACAGACTAGTTTAAGTTGCTTCCTAGTTACCACAAGAGCTAGAATTGCTACCAGTGACCTAATGGGAATTACTGATACTGTCATAGTGCTGATCAGATTGCTAAACCAAAACTCCTGGTAAAATGCATTTTAAACTATGGAGTAGAGCTAAAACAATGCTCAAAAGCACATAAACACTGTGATGAGGTGACAAGTTTAACTTGTTTAAAAACATGGTCACACAACTTTTTCCACCTGGGTTGAAACAGGGTAAGACATTTTTCTTTTTTGTTTTCCCATGGCGTAATCACATTACAGCCTTGATTTCTCTGAGTGCAAGCAATGTTATATATACACAGTCATGCACAATGCCACAGAGAGAAAAGAACAGGAGCCTTTGTGCAGGCTCACTGAGGCAGATTACAGATTGCGTGGGCAAATGCGTCAAAGGACTCGAGCTCTCTTTAGTCCTCGAGCATCTTACCTGACCACTCTGGTGCCACCTTTGTTGACCTGCATGTCCACCATACATCCCGAGGTGACGTAGGAGGCCAGGTTGATCTCTGAGAACTCCGCCTGAGGGACACAAAGAAAAAAGATTATATGGCACATCCCACAACAACACACTGTATAAGGTCAAGTTCATCGACAGTAATTGACCCTGACTCAGTACTCTGATGCACAAAAGGTCTTCCTGATAGGGATGTATTCATTTTAAAAAGTGAAAGTAAAAGTGTTCTCTTGCATCCTCTGTAACTTGACATCTCATACAGAGAAGAAGAAAACTACCTCTGACCGCCAAGACAGTACAGACAAGAGATTCTTTCAGGTTGACTTCATTTTACATTTCTGCATTTGCACAGCAGAGAGAAAAAAACAAGAGTCAGAGAGTTGGTGAGAGGAGGCAAATTGAGTTATCCCCGGTCTGTGGCCTCCCGGACAGTGAGAGCTTTGTGAAAGGCCGTAGCCTGGCTACCTAATGACTCAGTCAAACTCCCAGAAATACAAGAAAGGAGGGGCAACAGTCGACTTCTGGGAATGGACTTTCTAGATGGACAAGGACCAGATAGGAGCAATTTAATTGTCCTGCAAATGATCGTCACTAAAGTCCGAAAAAACCTACTGATGTTGATCCTCCTGACCAAATTAAGCATTCCTGAAATGAACAATTTTTCTGTCACAATAATGATGGTGGTTTGACTAAAGGTTTCTTACTCGATACTTTTACTGAATATTTTTTTTTAAAAAAACACCAAATGTACAACACTCAGTACAGAATAGACGTTCAGTGCCTCATCACACTACTGGCATTTGTAGCATAGAGTAAACATGCAGCACTCCCATGGCAAAGAGTTAAAAAAAATATGCTTTTCTTTTTGACAAGTTGAGGTGGAGCTGTCACTGCAGCTGCCATCTTCCACACATTGTTCTTCCGTGCATGTAGGCGTTCATCTTCCTCTTATGAAGAAGTGATTGTATTGTTAACTGCTCTGACAGGCACTGCTACACACAATTTACATCCTTTAACTATTCATTATATATTTGGCAATGGCACAGACAGAAAATTACCTTAAACACCTTAAAAGTAACCTGCAAATTCTAATAGTTGATAAAATATCCATGGTTGATCACAAACTAATGGCATATATTAATTGCAGATTACAACAGACCAAACACAGTGGTGATTTTTCCCTATTGGATAAAGTAAATGTCGTTTCTGTTGGAAATGTATTCCAGTTGCCTCCAGTAAAGGGGAGCAATTGTATGTTGACGATGTAGGTGTTAACCTGCGGTGTAACTAATTTAAAGATGATGAGTTACAGACTATAGTTAGGCAGAAAGATGATGTGTTTGCAGAGTTATTACACAGATTAAGGATGCATTCAGAAGGACTACCAATATAAGACAGTGACGAAGATTTGTTAAAGAGGTGTGAAACTGGTGAGACAGATTATCTCTGAGCATTTTTCCCACGAATGCTTGGCCATCAGCTCTATGCAGAGCCTACGCATGTGGCCTATGCCGTGTGAGCATTTATACTTGTGCAGTTGTGTGTCTGTGTCACTCTTCTGTTACGTGCTGTTAAGTGCTGTAATGTTTAGTTAATTCAAAACACACCCACAACACACATTAAACATGGCTAACAGACATAACACACACAAACACAAGTACACAAATCAGCTTCACTATAACTCGCAGCATTCACAGACAAACACTTGTCTTTATCTGGACACATTTTCGCCACATATACAACATGCTAATGTTATTAGCACAAGCCTATGGCATTTTACGTTCTATAAATTAGCCTAGCAGCTAGCGTGCTTTTCATCTACTCATATGAAGCTAGGAACAACAGCAACATTTAGGTAGGTAGGTAACGTTACAAAATTTGGTTCCATAAGGTTCACCGACAATACAACTTAATACTAAACACGTTTTCCAAACAAATACAACATGCTAACGTTATTAGCATATGCCTATGGCATTTTACATTGTATAAATTAGCCTGGCTACTTGCAAAGATTTCCTCTGCTCATTTGAAGCCAGGAAAAAATCACACACAAGACTTTAAGTGCTATTTCTGGAGGCTTTATTGTCTTCACAATTTACTGTTTCTTATTTGTGAAATTAAAGTAAATCAAAGCTTTGTTTCCACTGAGGGAAATGGTTTCAGCTTATAAAAATAAACAGGGGGCCTCAACGCCACAACGTGTAGTTACATTTCTAGGGAGGTGCACATCAGGCTACAATGTAAGGTATGTCTACGTCGATGCAGAACCTACGCCGCAGGTACGGCGTCCATTTGACGCAGAGGTATAAATCCTGCTTTCGTCGTTGTATTCTGGATCAATTATTGAAATCGTCCAGAATATGTAGAAATAGATGCCCAGGATTTTGGACATAAAAAGAGGGGAACAGGGAAAGTTGAGCTAATGCACTGACAACATACTAAAGTGTAAAATACATGTTAAGCTGACAGCAGACTAGAACACTTGCTGGTGTATATACTGCCCCATCAGGTCTGGAGGAATTGCCTCACTGGTACCAACAGTACTGTAGAAAAAACAAGTACCATCACGTTTTCAGAATTTTGGTAACGACTTGGTATCAAGGTATTGGTCCTTGTGACATCCCTATAATTTATCACACAGGCATAACTATTGGCTACATGTCTACAATTTTGGCTACTAATATGTAATTATAGTTTTCTAAATGCTTAAGAAGCTGTTTTTGGCTATGGTTGTGGCTGTTGGGTCACATCCTACATTCCCTGGCAGGGTCCATCTCAGTGCTGCATCATACTAAACTCGAGGTACGGAAAGCCCTGGAAGGATGATAACAGCAGCCAATTGACCTCAGACATGAAACACTGCCATTTCTTAGTCTTCACATCACCTTTAGGTATGAGGAGTGACATTAATGTAGTGGATTTACTGGGCCATAAACAAGCCGCCTGCTGACTCTCTGTGGAAAAACAAAAATTCAATTTGATGTGACACGGCTGACTACCAAAGACAACACTAGAAAAAGAACATGGCTGCATTTCATTTGTCTGTGGATACTCTGACCCTGAGTCAGCAGTGGACCAGATTCAGTCACTAACTCTCTGTGAACACTGTGTGACGATGAAATGCTCCCCAAAGGAAAAAACATAATCAAATGAAAATGCCATCTATGAATGTGCCAAACTGAGACCAGGAATTCAGCTTTGAAAACACAAACCCAATGCGTGGACAGCCTGACCCAAAATTTGAGTAACTGCATCACTGTGTTTAATAATAAGACCTTAATACCATTTTCGAAATCAGCTTCTACAGCACATTTTAATTTCTAGCTTGACTTCAGCTTTTCACGCAACAGATGTGATTATATAAAGGAGATACGTTTATTTTATTTTGGGTGAAGAGAATCATTTCCCACGGACAAGGAGCAAATTTCCTTCTCAAAAGGATATACTGCATTTTGGAGTGGAGCCTTGCACACATGTACAGCACATGGCTAATGGCATATGGCAGTCAGCTAATCAAAGAAATAGGTTTGGGTCTGGAGGGCTGATGGATTCAATCCTGGACTGGCTAGGTACATAAATAAATAAATAAATAAATAAATAAATAAATAAATAAATAAAAGCCTAATTACACAGCATGAAACCCTTTGTAGATAGTTTGCATTTGTAACATTTGAATGAAGTTTCGGTGTAGACTCAAGAACTTTAAAAATGCTCAGTAACAATTTGATGTGATGGATCAACCTGGGGCTTTAAAAGTGCAACAGGTTTATGAATATTTTGTGATTTGCACAACAATCTTATAGATAGCACAATTTAACTTTTTTAGTTTAACTGTCACATGCCATATTTGAGTTTCTATATTGTCGGAGATGGACTGTTAATTCAGAGAGCTGTTGGAATATATTGCTTGGTTATTCAGAACACCGCATTTTTAGAGTGCAACTCTGAGCACAGACGGAGCAGCAGAACCCTAGGCGCTGTGAAAACTTAACTTAACCGATCACTGATCCATATAGAAACAGAACGCATCTCAAAGAACAACAGCGTTCCCATTTTAGTGTTGTCCTTCGTTTTTCCAATCTACTTCAGATGAAACCAGCTGCATTCCTATGGAAACCACGTACCCCACTGTCCATCGCTGGGTCTAACCTGTGTAATGGCAGCAACAGAAAGTTTGCTTTCACTCGCCTCTGCAGCAGCTGCTCCTCTAATCTCATCCAATTAATCTGATCTGATCAGGCCTGATTGATCCAACCACAAACTGATCAACTGATCCACCTCGCAACTCAAACTGCTACTGGCTGCAGTGTAGGTCATAAACCCAGCCGCTTTGTGGATGGGACATGGGCCAAGCAAAAAAGATCAAAGTAAGTGCTTTCTGTTATTTTAGGTAGATTTTTATCATGCTGATATATGTTCACGTGTTCATTTTTTTAATAAGCTTTCTCTAAATTAGTTATTGGATGCTCTTAAAAGGGGTTTTATATCATGACCGCAGGCCAAATCTGGTCCCCGAAAGGGTGCTGGGTGGCACCCTACAAGTTTCTATTTCACAATGAAAATAAATTGATTCACACTGACATTTTTGTGAACTTTTAATATAAATACAGTGACAGAATGCATAAAAAGCATAAAAATATAGCATGTTTATCAAAAAAAGTGCCAGGACAGGTTTCCTTGGACCCTCTAACAGAGTCCAGTCTATGCCCCAAATGTCCTGAATTCCTAGAAATGCCCCTGTGCACACCTGACCTGTGCAGTGCTGCTGCATCTGGCCCCTGGCCCCCTGCCATTTTGAAAAAGTGTCTCCTTGGCAAAGCAAGTAGCAAGTTGAGTATCCCTGATTGTGTGTTCACAATCAATAGCGCTGCTCATAATCATTCGGATGGCTGTATGGGCAGGTATTCAATTCTGGGGCTCTAGAACCACAGGCGAAGGACGACAGTGCCTGTATCCGGGATATTTTGGCTTCATTTTTATAAAGTGGGAAGAAGTGGAGATGCTTTGTCCATCTTTATAAATGGTCATTGTTCGAGACCAACAAAAGTAGGTGTTTTAAAACAAG